GGGGGGTTGAAGGAGATGAGGCGCGTTGTGCGATGATGACTGACACAAAATCGATCATGCACGGTTTGCTGCGGAATCCGACCAGTATTCTTCCACAACTTGCACACACGGGAACATCCAATGGCCTTCCAACAAACATTCACCAGCACCAGATGATTATGGACCATGCATATGCACAAGCAAACACACTGATAGTCCAGATTGGAAAACTGCAGTCCGACGGTCATCTTACAATTGCCAAAATCTGGATCTGTGAAGTTATGCGACTGCGATTGAAGCGTCTCCCCAAGCAATCGAACTGGCACACACACACACACAAAGCTGCACACTTGTGACGATTCCGTGCGATTGGGTTGTTCCCGTCATCCGTATCGTGTGCACAAATGCCATCTACTACAGCGCGAGATAATCGATTTAAGAACCGAAACACTTCACCAAAGTTTTTTTGGATGGTAAGGAAATTCACTACGCCAATAGGAAAGAAGTATTGTCTTACTTTTGGATTCTTACACTCTTCCTACTGTACTAATCGTTTGAATCATTTCGAGAAATAAGGTTGTCTGTGAAATGGAGACAAAGTCGCTCACAAGTGAGACACTCTGAAAATACTGTTACTATACCTTAAAGGAGCCCGAGATGCATTNTGTTTGGGACATGGGAATCATCAAGTACTGTTGGGGTCACTTGTTTCTAGAGATCTACTAACAACAAATTTACTCCTTCCGATACCTTTGTAATGCAGTGTACATTGGCCGCACGGCGAGGCAACTATCCCAACGGAATAGGGAACACTGCCTACGCTGGTTAAGATAAGGAAGTACAGGGAGCGTAGGAAACGCCCTTCTTGGTTATCAAGTGAACGTAATCCATCAAATTAGACCGGAATACGCGTTCAGCGTAATTTATCGTGTTCTTCCCCCCCCCCCCCNCTCTCCCCCCAGCACCGAAGAATAGATGAAACCCAAGTCGGTGCCTTGAGGTTTATAAATGCTTTTGAAGTTCGGATTATAAAATTACTTTTTCGCAATAAGTGTTCCCTCTATAGTCACACTCCTGCAGCCACCTTTACGTTTTGCGTCCTAATCGAAAACAGAAGTTTTCCTTTCCGCGTGATTGTAGCATAACTTGTTATTCTATTTGAACAACCTGATGGGATACTTGCATTGAACTGTTCCATATGCCTCCGTCTGCTTTATGAACTTCGACCGCAAGCTCTATCAGACAGGAGCTTCAGAAAAAACACTTTGTTTCCTGATGTCTTGCAAGCTAACGAGCTCATCTCCCAAACTTCCAAGACTCGGTACGGAGAGAATTTGCACTAGAATTTGCTTGCGACTTGCATACCTACTAAATTCTATAGACTAATGTCAAAGCAAATGTAAGTATACGGTTTGCATTGCCCAACTTACAAAATTCTTTATAAAACATTGCGCTCAGATCACTTGATTCACATGCATTGTATTGATCATATGTTTGTTGGGTGAAGCGTTGATGATGGCAATCTTTTCTTTACCTCTTCAAGTTTGTTTTATTTTATATCCTCCACATAATTTCGATATTGTGATTTTTGGGGAATGAACAAAGTCAAATCAAGTCAAGGAAAGCACAATTACAATTACCTAAGCCCTAAATAGGATTTTTAATTCTACCCCTGAAGGAGATCGAACCTCCCGAGCACAACTCAGGTGCACCTGCCCCCATCGCTCACTTGATTCTCTACTCTAGTTCCAACAGACACGTATGTTTTTTCATTAGCCTTGCTGTTTTCATTAGCCTTGAATTTCACCGGAACTTGGACAACTAATCACATGCACAAGTGATGGATAGGTGGTTGGTCAGACTGACAGATGGCTTAGATGATTGTGAGTGATTGACCATACACACGAGGTGAAGAAACACCAGTACCCATCACCAACTTGACAACAACTTCTCACGTAGGTAACTGTCTTGAACCGGTCTGGGTCCCTGTAAGCGCGTAAACAGCTTCGTCGAGTGCCCACTTTCCACTGATTTTAGAAAGCACGAGTTGTTTGGGAGCTAAACCCAAGTTAGAATGAGTGGTGTGCGAGTAGAAACGGGTATGATGGAAAACAACAGAACGCTTTTAGTGACATCCGGGACCGGCCTCACTACCTTCTATGGTACCAGCAAGACTTAAAATAAACAGAATGAGACAGTGTGGGTAGACTCATCAAAGGTAATAACCGTTGCTTAAATCCCCTTTGACTGTATTGGGCATAAAATTGTGTAAACATTAATCCGTTTCGTTGATGGTCCGCAGCCAACCACTACGAGGTCTCGACAAAATAGCTTAGTGCCTAGTGCATTCAATTCTCGTTTACATGCAATTGGTTCCGCATCAACCGATCATTGATCTGAATGATATTTTTTCTCGTCCTTCTATTAACATGGCAGTTTTAGGTCATTCTTCAATACGGGGTTAGTGCCAGTGGGATAAAGAGAGAGAGAGAAAAGGGGCTTAAAAGGATACATATAAATAGAGAAAAAAAGCCCTAGTGAACGTATCCGATAACACATGACTTCTGGGTCGATGTGATCTAAACCGCTAGGAGTCCGCTGGAACACCCAATGGTTGGACTCACACTCAATCGATCAGACTGTCCTTCAGATGCACTTAGTCCGTCGCCTGTTGCATTATTAACGCAACTGAGGTAAACCGAATATGATCGGCTAACTAATACACTCTGACTTCATAGTATGACTCCAAATGTTTTGAAGCATATCGTTCATGGAGTCCCCAGTGAGACTTATAAATTATACAGCGCAATTCATCGTGTACGGAGCAAACAAAGCGTGAAGTGAATAGCTAGAGAGCACTGTACAGCTATTTTTACCTAGTTAAGTATCATGAGCACTGTAAATCCATGTGATTAGCTACCCGGTGATCAAGTGCTTTCGTTTTGCCTCTGAGGTTCCGGGTTTAATCCACAGCTGGATCGTTGGATTCGCACGACTGATGAAACCCAACCAGGTCAAAGCAGCTAATCAGTGCTTCCTAGTTCTTTAGTTCTTGTTTCTTTGACTCTGCAGATGGCGAAATTAAATATCTAATGGAACCAAATCCTCCACTACCGCTATGTAACTATTGAATCAGTTGGAACCTATAACAGGAATATCTTTGCTGTCGTAGTTATTGTTCTGCTACGTGGTACTCCTTCACATCCTCTTCATAAGTTTCATTTTCTAAGATGTTCACCAATCATAACTCCATCATCATCGTCACTAGAAAAAAGACGTAGAGGGCGAGAGAGTTTCGAATGTTGTATTCGTGGTGTGAGAGGTGATGAACTCTGTGAATCGTACCACATGATGGGTTGACGTCTGGATGGTGTGTGTGTGTGTGTGTGTGTGTGTGTGTAAGAATCCTTTGGCACATTTGTCTATGATTTTATTGGCATCGGTCTAATTTCCATTGTCTGTTATAGTTTCAGTCTTGTGATCAAACACTCTTGCCTCTCTCTCTGTCTCTTTTCTCTCAACCCTCTATCTGAACATCAGTATTGTCCGAGCGATTCTGCAGCATTGCCTGTGCCAAACCCCTTGGTTGGTGGACGAACCGCAACCAGGTGGTCTGACTGCATTACACCTGGCCTCGTTACACGGGCATTTGGAAGTGACAGATTTACTACTACAAGCTGGCGCTGACCCTAACCTGACAATTCAAAGACCGGCTGGTCTAACCGGCCCCCCGTTACGTGTTGTTACGGACCAGAGTGGTGGTGCTTCTGCAGTTGTTGGAACTTGTGGCAGCGGCGGTGGTGGTGGCGGTGGGACTTCCGGTACCGTCACCGGTACCAATTCGGTCTTAAACCAGTCGAATTTTACTGCTCTCCACTTGGCCGTTCAGGGGGCACATCCGGATGTGGTCTGTTTGTTGTTGTGCTATGGAGCTCGGGCGACATTGAGGAACGGTGAAGGCAGAAGCCCTATGCAGCTGGTCCTTACCACCCTGGCACAAACTCATGACATGCAGGTCAGTGGGGGTTGGGGTTATAGAAACTCCTCAGGATACGCGGTCTTCTCGGAAGATCCTTGGTTGTTATTTTGTAGACATCAGGGGAGGGAGGAGGCAGAAGTCGTGACCTGAAGTAGCAAACAAAACCGGTTAGTTCTGTTCGGGTGTCATCCCCATCTTCATTATCGTCATCTCCAGTATCATCACCAATGCCGGGCGATGTCTCACATGTGTGATTATGTGTGCGCGCGCACGCGTGTTTGTGTCGGGGAAATAGCAAGTAGACGTATTCTGACCGTCTGGTTTGCGCATGTGTTATGACCCGAGGCAGCTTATTACCGTTTTGAACAGTGCGATTGTGTCAGATGTTTTCCTCGCACTGTTCGTCCTTCTTCTTGTGCCCACTGCAGTGACTCAACCTGTCTGAATCGGGATTTACGATAAGGTCAAGGTCGAAAATAAACAGAAACACACTCACACGAATGACTGAAGTACACGTGTACAATTCGCCCTTTGCATGGGCAGCCAGTGGTTTTGCCCTAATAACAAGCTGGAATCACTTTTTGTTTCAGTGATCGTGCGATTTCAATCTGTTTTGCCAGGTCTGGTGTATTTTTGGCCAGTGACGTCCTCTGTTGTATCCGTGCATTAGAACCCCTCAAGACGACATGAGCAAGAGACTTCGGAGTTCTCATACTGTGTGTGTGTGTGTGTGTGTGTGTGTGTGTGTGTGTGTGTGTGCATACCTGCGACAGATGAATCTGCTCGAGCTATATAGTGGTGATCCATGCTCTGCGGTAGAAAGTTTCTGTACCAATAAATAACAGTACTAAATATTTGAATTACACGGACTCAGACTAACCTGTGTAACAAGATTATAGTGCTTTGTATCTCGGTCATACCCTGAAAACAAATTCTTTCTGGTTTTGGCCTCAAGTTTTGCTATATAATTGACTTTTAGGTACACCTTTTCCCATCTTGATCATATTAATCGTTTCATGCAACTTGATACGACCCAAGACGTGAGTTATAAAAAGGAGATTGTTCAATGTATCGTCGGCTACCTGAAATCTTAGTGCTTTGTATCAAAGATGGTTGCCTTGATTATACAGAGGTTTTGCTGATTCAGTTCTACTGTCCTCGGTCAATCTGTGATTGGACTTCTAATAGTACACTGTTAGCAACACAGAGAACCCTACTCCACCACAAAAGTCCTGCATAAGTCTCCCTAACCGTTCAGCCCAGTGCTTGCCACTCGAATTTGTCATGAACGGTATTCGGTTCATATATATTTATATATCATTGTCGATATATAATCAGGCATGGCAATTGACCAGTGGTATATTGGAAGAAGCATCCACTTAGCACCGGCCTCATCTCGGTTCCGAGTGAATACAAAAGGCATAAATTTATTTACCAGGCTATCAGTAGCTGTAAAGCTGGAGTCTAAGTGGATGAAATGATACTCAAAGCGGTTCATTCTTTTGTTGTCAGGTTTTATTATTGTCTGTTCCATCAGCGGTACACGTTGCCTATTCGGTATCCGTAGGTACCGCGCGCCAGTCGTGTTCCTGTCGTCGTATAGAACCATTGACACCGGGCAGCGTCGATGCCCTCTTTCTGTTGATGTACTTATGTTTTTTCAACTTCCAAACTTTCACCCTTTTGTCCATCATTCTGAGCTGAAATTTTGATTAATTGCACTATAAGACATCACCGGATTGCATTCCGAGCCAGTGGTATAAATGCGTTACTCCTTGGAGAAGCTCCTTTTGATGTTCTCTGGGCATCCACGGAATGTTTGCCGCCTGTCGTGCCTTTAAAACACGGTGGAACAGCACTTAACTTAAGTGTACGTTCTGAATCACAAGGGCGATTGGGTTACAAAGTGATTCCTCGGAGTATCTTTCATCTCAGTCTTCTGCTTGCCACAGAGACGGTGATATGTATCCGAATGTGAATAAAGGTCAGCTGAGTATACTGTTCACGAAAGTCGACTCGTCCGATAGCATCTCGATCTAACTTTGGATTTGTGATCTCAGGCGGTTTGATAGCCTTGTATTCCATTTGTTCTAGTCGAGGGAGGTTCTCATATTTTTGACAACCATGTAGTATGGTCCAATTTGTAGTCTGATGAGATCATCGGAAATAGTATGTATCGTTTCAGAAACCTAAGTGTGGAACTCCGGCCTGAAAACCAAGTACTAAACCAGTTGGCTATTGATGTAGTATAATACACCGTGTACTTTACTCCTTTAAAGTGTGAAGCGCCTATTTGAGATTGGCCGGAGCCTGAGCCTGAACTCACTCTGAGCGGTCGGAGGTTTGACATCATTGACCAATTCCATTCTATCGGAAGCTGCCTTACAGCCTGTGGAGCCGTGGGCGAAGTCACCTAGCTACAAACAGCAATAGCCCGGTACTGTTCTCCTGGCTGAGGCACTTGTGATGACAACATGACTGTGGTCTTCCTCTAAAATACCGGGTCTACAGTACAATGATACGTGCCATATTGGTTTACGGTAGCGAGTCTTATCCGGTTTGTTCGACAACCACTGTCTCCGAAAGATCTTTCGGATCTGGTGGGAAGAACGTTTGAGTAAGGATGGAGTACGTCAGACAGAAAGTTTTAGGTCCGGATGATTTTCTCATTGGGAAAATATTGGAGTATCGTTTTCGATTGTTCGGTTATGTGCCAACCGAGAGACATGAAGCCAACAGAAATTTAATTTAATATTGCACCGTTTCCATTTATTTCGCATCTTTTCCTACTTGTTCTATGAATACCCATAGATATTTCTACATTCGAATCGTTTATACATGCGAATTTACGTTTGTTTATCCTGTGAATACCGCTTGTTGCTCGATTTGTTTTACACAGTGTGACCAGTGAGGAATGTTAACACATGGTGATTTTTGATCGTCGACAATTACAGTGGTGATCAATAACTATAATACCGTATCAACTTTGTCAAACACTGGAATGCGGAATCAGTTTATTATTTGCAATATTTAACATCGAAAATAATGAGAATGCTCTTCCTTTGGACTGTTATTGTTGTCGTACCATTACGAAACTACCCTAATCATCATTTGTTTTTTGATGTTACATGCAGCTTTATCTCTGCTTTCGAATTGGGATTGTTTTAGCAGCAATCTGGACAATCATCCCGGCGTTTTGATGTTGCTCTAGTACCGTTCTTGGCCTCTGTGGCTCGTCTCCTTGTACGCATGGCTGATTCTCTGACGGTGACTTCAAGTTCACCTGGGCCGGTTTCCGGTCAGCCGCGAATTCGACCGAATAGGGAAGAATTCGAAGAGCAGCTCATCTCGATCGAAGATCCTCCTGAGGAAGAAGATACCATACCAGAACCGTTGAACGAACCTGTATGTTTAACTGTTCCAAGCCCACTTTGTCGACGACTCAAATCCACCATTCAGGCAACACTTGAGACAGGTGTTCCCCGTCTGGTTCTGATCGCTGCTTGTCTGGCCTCTGCCATTGGAGCCGAGTCTTGGTCTGCTAGCTGTGCAACCGAAGAAGACGAGGCCGAAACACGTAATGCGGAGTCCCTAACTGAGTCGTTTGTCGCCGATATTTTCGGTGAGTACTTGGATCCGGTACTGCAGTTAGCATTGCAACAGTGTCATATGGAGGCGATGAACTCGATGTCTCAGGTTCGTGAATCACGCAGCCCAAGGCATCACGCAGCAACATCCGGAGCTCAGCCGGGAACGGAACTCTTGGTTGATATGGATGAGATTGAGGAGGAGAATTTAGTTGATGCACTGCTTCAAGCGGATGCACAATCTCAACCAGCCATAAGTCTTTTGCCCGGGACCGTTTCTCTTACCGATAACAATGTTCGTGCAGGTGGCGGCAACAACGCTGATGCCGGTGTGGTCGTTGCCACTGGCGCTGACAACGGACCGGTTGTGGAAGTGACAGAACCGTCAAACGATTTTATCTTTGCCGCCACACCTGAGGAACAAACCACGAACACATTGCATCAACCGTTGACTATTGCAAACCAGTTGGTACCCCAACTGAATAACTTACGTATTCAGGATCCACCTTCACACCCGGAACCGCACTTGTTACCACCTACACTGGAGGAATTCGATTTGGAATGGCGAGAGTGTTTGGTCTGTTCTGAGGCGAATCGGGCAACCATTATTGTACCATGTGGTCATATCATTACATGCAAACAATGCACTTCCCTGATCAAAAAGTGTCTGCTCTGTCGGATGCGGATTTCCGGATTTCACGAAGTGAGTGCATTCCGGTCTGCATAAGCCGCAAATGGTAAAATGTGCACAAGTCGTAAAAATTCGCTTTCATCCGTCTTATGGTTGGTGTTTTTAAATATCACTCGGTATTGTCCTGTTCACTGAAGGATTAGAGAGCTTACGAAGAAGTAAGCGTTTCACGATATGTAGTTGGTCCTGTTGTAGAAGTTATTGACAACAATGAAAATCACCTGAATTCATGTGTTTGAATTGAATCGCTCCAATCCCACCATAACATTTGTGTGTATAGTTATTCGACAGCTTTTGGGGCATTGGTAATTTGCCCAACACAGTAACGAAGATGTTAGGTAAGAAAAAGTTTACTTTATTTTGAACCTTAGAGTGGCTTTTGATATATGTTCTTCATTTGGGTATACGTTTAACCTTCCATTCACTAAAAAAGTCACTAACAGTGAACTTGGCACAGATTCCGTAGGATTGGCGTACTCTCCGTGAATGCTGCTTCAGTCCAGCAGTTATTTTCTTGTCATTGCTCAACACCACTTCGTAGCTTCATAGGTTGAAGTTGTTGTGTGCAACTCGCCGGTTGCTGAACAGTTAAGCTCACACGATCACGTTCGTTCAATCCTATCTGTTGTATTTGGCTCCCTAATCCGTTCGTTTCAACTCTTTCTCTGTTTTAGCCATACTTGTACGTTCGTTTCGTGATTCCTAATTTATCAATCAGCAGAATCCTTCAGACTATGGTCTCTCGCTGGGGCGAAAATTGCCATCTATTCTCTTGTGATTCAGTGCACAAAACAAAATAAACCGATAGGTATATTAGGCCGGTTTCGTATCTATTTGTGTGAAACCCGGAGAGACAATTAGGTTGTTATTTCATTCAACAGAAGCAATAGCTCGCTGTTCGCGAAAATTCATCGCTCGTGATTGACGTGGTTTATTTATGTATGTGGGTCTGAGACAGTATAAATATCCCAAACGACAAACTAACGAGGACTGTCACCTGACCTGTGCTATATTTTTCTTCAAATAATATGACAGAAATTGTCCGGTCTGCTTGCATCATACCACAGTGAGCTATCGGTCGATTTAATTAAATGTGGCCAAGGCATGCACGATAAAATGACACTCAAATCGGTGCGACCGGATGGACGTACAAATTTAAGCCACTGGTGGAGGGTAATGTTTGGAACCCCGTCTGCGGTGCATGAGAATGGCTGTACATTTTTACTCTGGGAGAAAAGTTTCCTCCAGAGATAGTCAATATTTATATAAATATATTCTATGCGTGCACGAATGAAATTTCCAACGTGGAAGTTCTGTTTGCTAACGAAATTTGATGCACTTGTCCGAGTTCGCTTTCGAGTGCTCTCTTCTTCTGTGACGCGGCAGATGGATTGAAGGGTGATCAATTCATCTCCTCTCGAAAGAGGTTCAGACGCTCTTGACTAAGTTCACAATCACTCCAAACAGATAGCGCGTTATCTATATCACCACCGACAAAGTCAGACAGCTGAACTAATGTCCATTAAGATCGATTCCATTGTGCTTTTTTAATCAAAAGTATTTTATTCACTGTTTTTATCATTGAACTAAATGTTTCTAGACTACACTCGTCTGAAATCGTGCTCGCCTTCAAATTTTCCTCTATTCAGGTGGGTGAGCAGGCAGATGGACGGGGGGGGGATGACGAGGAAGATCACTTCAGTCTGGTATTACTTGGCTTTGGTTTTACTGTATGAAAATTACAGTCAACTTCTAATGCGAAACCCAACTTTACTGTGATGTGCGTTGATTGTTTGACACACATCGATCGATCAATCGATCACAGTGAGGTATTTGTTCCAACGGAACCGATTGCTCGCCTCACAGTTAAACAAAACAATCCAGGTGCCGCTGATATTTCTGATGTTTTTTCATACCACGACCAGGGAAAAAAAAATTCTCGTGTTTTGGCAACTTAGACAAATTGTGAGGCTAGACTCAAGTAGTATTAGTTTACAGCGCAATGGCACTTGGAGAAACATGAGTACCGTGAAGTCTATAAATAAATTACGAACAAACTTACTTGTCGGTTCAGCGAAGATCAGCCTACTGTTACAGACAATCTGGCCATGTAAAAACATGTGAATGTTGATTTGTAAAACTAGAATTTATTCTATCTGCCTTCACGATTATTTGTGCTTCGTAACTAACCCATCTTTTGGCCCCTGTGTGGCTTCCTTTTCCCTGATATAAGTGAGGAGCGGTGCAATAGACGTACATTCTGTCATCATTGTGTCAATTCACGGTGTTACTAATTTATTATTACTACTACTACTACTACTAGCCACATCCATTCCCCCATATTTTGTAATCTCGGAATAATACTTATTGCATTGTCACACTATGCTCAGCAATCTGATTCGCGAGTAATCTGACCTCTGGGACTTGGGTGTTTCAGATGGGGGAGTAACTGTTCCAGCATGGGAGATCGATGTGTTTATCTATCTCGCTCGGACATCGCTAGTCAACGGCGAAATATTATTGCCCCTCAAAAAGGCAATCGGACACGGTCAGTCCTGAGTGGTCAGGTTAGAAAATGGAAGCAGGGGAAATTCAACCATTACGAATTTTAGCATTTCAATTACTCGATCAGAGGTTCGATTAAAAATCCACTGTTCCACTTCTGGCAGTGGTACGTTTGAAATCTACAGTCACACGTCTCACATTTTACCAACTTTGTACTTACTAAGGTGTTACTTTTTTCGTTCCATTTATCCTTTAATCGCTCATCTGCGCACTATTGCAATATATATATATATATATATGTGAGCTGTCTATCAAAAAATCACCCAGTGTTGCAGACAAGGTTGTTGTGATGAAAATACACGTCCTGGGTACAAGTTTATGAAGGAACTGACGAAAGATTACCGGATACGCACGACGAGCTCAATACCCATATGCGCAGATTGGAGGACGCATCTAGTTATGCTGCCTAATGTTGATAGCATTTTTCGGTCATAGCGATTTCACCTGGTATGTCTCTTTCCGATCCTCCTAGGACAATCGGCAACAGCGAGATAGAATTTCGTTGTGTATACCGAATATTAGGTGCCTCAGGCTACCTCCGACTGCCTCCTCGTTAACCAGATCTCTTCCCATCTTATCAGAACAGCTGATACTACTGTGGTGGACAACTTGCTTTTGGTGACAACTTACAGAACGGAGTTGAGGCTTTTGAACGAATTTCACATAGATTGATCGCCGCACACGAATAGGTAATCTGACATACATTTAGATCACTAGTATTCCTCTTTGATCTTTAAGTGATTTCGCTCGGTGCCACTAACAGCCTTAATCTGAAAAAGTTCAACTAGTCTATCACTAGTGCGTATTATTATATCGGGAACTTGAGAGCGGTAGATGAAAAATTCCTTATAGTTTCATGCATTCCTCGGCTTTTTGGTGGCTTTCATTACCATGTGCTGCATTTTGCCTTACTACTCTCTACTAGTTCTTTCATAAACTCATTCAAGTTCTTAGCGTAAGCGTTCCAAAAGTCTCAAAGTGCAAACCAGGGGTTTTTTTAACTGGAATTATTTGATGAGTAATTTTCATGTATTCAATGGCACATCATCACTTGTACCCTAACCACCGACAACTCGGATTCACA